GTAACACATTGGCTTAGGGTAGAATATATTATTTTCTCTCATGATTTACGAATAACAAAAACACGTTAAATACGTCATAATAACCCTTATATACCACGTTGAACCTTAAAATTTTAATTTAGAACATCATTTGACCAATTTGACTCGTCGCACCGTCAAACTCGTCACATTGTCAAACTCGTCAAACTCGTCGCATCCTCACGAATTTCGAAAATTTATCATTTTCACACTATGAACATGTTAATAAACACCCTGTATAACAACTTTCATAAATAAAAAATAATCACAACTCTCTAAATTTAACACCTTATTTTTTTACTATCCATGTTCTCCCAAATGAAACCCCAAAGTTCTAGTACACTTTTTGTAACACATTGGCTTATGGTAGAATATATTATTTTCTCTCATGATTTACGAATAACAAAAATACGTTAAATACATCGTAATAGCCTTTATATACCACGTTGAACTTTAGACATTTAATTTAGAACATCATTTGACCAGCTTGACTCATCGCACCGTCAAACTCGTCGCACCCAAAAGCCAAAACTCCAAACAAGTGTGGCTAAACCCGAAACCCCAAACGAGTGTGTCTAGTTTGACGATTCTTACAAGTATGACCGTTTCGAAGGGTTTGACTAGTTTAACTGATTTGATGTGTTAGATTATTTGACCATGATTCATTCAGGAACTTTATGATCAATTTAATTGGTGTGGATCATGATAATGTTGATTTTAACTCATTTATATCTATATAATACGACATTATATTGATATATGTTTCGTTTTTTTCATTTATATCATATAAATCAAATATAAATATAAAAACAAAATAAACCCTAAATGTCCAAAATAAAAAAATAAATTTTAGAATGAAAATTTATCCATTATCGAGATTATTGCTTATTAGATGAAAATTTTAGAGATTTCTTTTATTTTTTCCAATTAATTAACCAAGAAATCATGTGAAAGAATAAAAATTTGAAGAGAGAGAAAGCTTAACTGGAGAAAGAGAACGTAATAGAGGAGAGAGAAATAAAAGAAAGAGAGAACCAGATAGAGGAAAGAGAGAACTAGAGAGAAGAGAGAGAAATAAAAAAAACTTATTTATATAATTATATTAAATGAAAAAGTAGAGAGTATTATAGGAAATGTATATTTATAAAGGTATTTATAATAGTGTCATTTTTTTTCTTTTACGTGAGGGTATAGTTTGAAGTCCAATGTATCATTTAAGGGTATTTTTGCAATTGGCCCTCGTAATGTAGCTAACGATGCAGCGAGCGATGATCGGATTTTTGGTTTTAGTTTTTAAATTTTAGTTTGGGTAAACTTCCTAAAAATTCTCCAACTTGCAAAACATTGGAAAACTAATTCCTCAACTTGCAGTCTAGAAAAATAATTCCTCAATTTGCAAATCTTACCATTAAAATGCCTGAACTTGTAAATCATTACCAATTCAATTTTTTACCAACGTTTTACGGTCACTTCCGTTAAATAACATCTTATGTGGCATTCTACTTCATATTCTAATTCTATGTTATAATTAATTGTCACATAATCAATTTTTAAATTAAATAATAGAAAAAATTAAATCGATAAATAAAAATTATGAACCGATATGTTAAAACAATATATTAATTTGAACCTATTTGTTTTTAAGATTTTCTGAGTTATTCGAATCTATTAGAAAATGTAGGTTTGAATTTGATATAAATGATTTAATTTTTTTTTTTGTTTTCAAATAAAGATGAGTTATTTTCTAAAAGACAAATTAACAGTTTAGAAAATATATTAATTTGAACCTATTTGTTTTTAAGATTATTTTGGTTATTCGAATCGGTTAGACAACCTGGATTTGAATTTGATATAATTTTTATTTATCGATTTAATTTTTTCCATTATTTAATTCAAATATTGATTATGTGACAATTAATTATAACATATAATATGTTCTAAAATGCCACATAAGATGATATTTAACGGAAATGATGGTAAAACGTTTGTCAAAATTTTAATTGGTAATGATTTACAAGTTCAGGTATTCTAATGGCAATATTTGCAAATTGAGGAATTATTTTTCTAGGCTACAAGTTGAGGAATTAGTTTTTCAATACTTTGCAAGTTGGGGAATTTTTAGAGAGTTTACCCATTTTAGTTTTGAGTTTTTGGTTTTTGGTTTTTGAATTCTATAATATTTGTAAACCCAAAGAATATAGTTTTTGATTTTTCATTAATTTTTTCATCAAAATAATTTTCTAATATTTTAGGAAAACTAGTTTTTTTGGTTTTTTAATTCTACAACTCCAACCATTCAACATCTAAGTCTTATTTTTTCTTTTCAAAATTTGCCTCATAAGTAGAGTTTTTTTTAATTTATAAATCAAATATAAAATTTTCTCATTTCTAACATTTCATATTCTAGTTTCAACCCAAATGCCAAAAGAAAAAAAAAGATTAAAATAAGAAAACACTCTACCGGATTCGGTTGATTAATTACAGTATTTCAACTCCAATTCAAAACGCAAACCGGATTTGTCCAACAATAATAGAAAGTTATGACATAACTTGTATAACCGATCTGAATTATTGAAAAAAAGATCATCTTATAACGTTTTTTTTATAATCTGAAAATTTATCAAATTTTTTATCCTAATATATTTTAAAAGGATCGAAGAAATAGAAATAAATGCATTTGTGCACTTAGAATTGAAATAACTGATGCATTCAGATGTCGCTCAAAATCAGTTCTTTTCATTCAAAGAAAACTGACTACTACAACATAGAGATAGTTGCAGTAAAACCCAGAAGCACCACACTCTCCCTGAGTGTTAGCCCTCCTATGACACAAAATCTATTGATTCAACACACAACTCGTGTGAATACTCACTCTCACGTTCTGGATTTGTTCAGATTACTGTTGAGAACTCACCAGACCAATCTCACTCATCAGAATAAAAAAACGTAAAGAACAAAAACTCTCGTACTTTCTGAATTATAATCTCTTAAACTCTGTATTTTTTCAATCTCTTTCATACTCCTTTTATATGCACATATCCAGATCTACTCAGATTCATCCTTATTTTTTTATGATTTGTCTTTATCTCCAAGGTTGTTGGTCAAATCTTATCTTCAAGCTCTTAGTAGTTATCTTTTTCATAAAACCTGTAATTTAGATTCTCTTCAGATTTATCTCCATAATAAATTTAACTACCTGCAAAAACAACTTTAACAAGAATTTATACCAAAAAAAAGTTATTTAAATACGAGGTAAAAACATGTATGTTGTTTTATCATTACGCCATCTAATCTTTCTTAAGTTTTAGAGCTTTACATTTTTGTTTTCCTGATTAGAGCTTTACATTGAATCGCAACTCATCTTACGAAATACCCAACTCCCTAACCTCTAGCCTTTCTCTCTCTCTCTCTCCACTTCAAGCAGAGTTGACGTGAAACCATAATCAAATTAAAGTAATAATATTTTGTTTAATAAATTTCATTACATAGTATATTTGAAAAATTATTTTATTTAAATGATAATACTTGCAAAATATATTAAATATAATAACTGAACATAGTGATAACTAGGAGTGTGACTAATTTAATTAATAACTGAAAAATCAAACCGAATTATAGTATTTTAGTTCTATTTATAGAAGAGAAAATAATCTTTCGATTCCATTTGATTTGATTACCAACCACATAAAATCAATTAATGTTCAATTTACTGGTTCGGTTTAGTTTTAACCTAAGTATATATGGAGCAAAAATTTCATTTACAGACAATTTTTTTACTCAATGATGACAAATAGTTATAGTTTATTTTTATATCGTCGGATTATCCATCGAGAGTTGTATGTCGATTTTTGTCGATATGTAGACATTCGATGAGACGTTTGTCTAAACATGCACATAACCTTTTGCTCGTATATTAGATCTGTATAATCTTAGATCTATGCACAACTGTGAAAAAGATCTTTCTAATGCTTTAAAGAATGAATTATTTGGATATTTGTGAAACTAATAATGTCATCAACTAACAATCGACTTTTCCATCGAACAATGGCTGATTATTTGGCTCGAGATCCGGTCCATCAGTCGATGGCTGGCGATTCGAGTTGACTGCTGAATCATCGGATCACCTACCGAATTATGGTAAATATTTTTTAGTTTAATTTCATATATTCGGATTGTCCATCGAGATTTGTCTACCAATTTGTCGATATGTAAACATTCGATAAGACTGTTGTCTATAATCCAATCAAACATTTCTAATACCAAATGGATGTAAAGGATTTAAAAATTTGGTTACGAATTTATGAAAACCGAATATATCAAACCGGTTATAATCAAACCTAAAATCGAATAAAAACTCGATTTGGTAAACCGTGCCTAAAACAATGCTAATTAGTAATTACAAGAAATGTCAAATATAGTGCAATATATAAAAAAACACCAAAAATTTGTTTCGTAATGGAAATAGAAACAGAAATAATATTTGGACAGAAAAATATTATGATATCTCGAAGTATTTATTATATATTATTTTTATTTCTTTAGTTTTATAATTTGTTTTGTATACACAATCACATGCATGTATCATATGCTTTTTTTTTCATGATGTCATATATTTCTTTTTTGTAAAAAAATATTTCATATGCAATATTCGAATATTTTTTTAATATTCTTCATAAATATCGACCATTACCAAACCAACATACGTGTATTATTCACAAGACGCATGTTTATATATGTCGGATAAGGCACATACGTGCGAAACCACTCACTTGAATCCAATCTCCTCAGCAGTAACTTGGAAGCATTATCCATGGCGGAATCCGCTTGCCTGCGTCTCGTCTCTTCAAATCTCTTGAAGACGAAGAGACCCTTTGGAGCGAAGGCGAAGCCCATCGATTCGCTACGACCCCGATTGCCTCCCATTGCTTGTTCCTCGAGAAAACAAGACTCTTCCTCGGTATATTTTCATCTCACGTCTACGTACATAGATACATAGATACATACACTCTCTCTCTAAGATGATTGATTGGTTTGGGTTTATATCTTTTCGTTGGAATGTGACATCTTTGAATTTAGTGAAGATATTAAGGTTACATTGTTCCCACGGGAAGATTGAAAGAGAGAGCATTGGATGATAAAGCAAAATGATTTCCCTAAGAACCCATTTGATGAAATTTTTTGCTTTGTGATTCGATGTACATTAGATTCATTTCTCAAGAAACCCATCAAATTAACCAAACTTGGTTGTTCAACCGGTGAAATGGGGCGTAAAGCATTTATCCCGCCCGATTTCTAACCTCAAACGTATAATCCAAATCACATGGCTAGTTCTCGATCCCATGATTAGTCTGAACCTTGGTCCATGATATCGATTACCCAAAAAAAACCGTCAAATTTCAAATTCAACCCAAGACAATCAGTGAAGTTGAACCACATTCATTGTTCTTGCTAATTTTACCTCTTTTTGTTAGGTTGGGTGTTTGAAAATGGAAATGTAAAAATTCTGCTGTACAAGCAGTCTCATTGGATTTGATTGAATGCAAAGATTGGAAATTTCAAGGCACTCACGAAAGCAACATTACATGTTTTTTGTGGGAATGATAGATAGGTAATGGAGGAGGCTGTAGAGCTAAGCGTTTGATAACGTTATCTCCGAGTGAGGGAAGATGGCATGGCAATTGGAATTCGCAATACAATGTCTCCCTTCGAGATCTTTGCCTCGAAGATCTCGTCGAAGACGGCCCTACGAATGCCCGTGTCTCCATCCACCTCTCAGTCCAAAGGGTTTGTTACCTCTTTCACCTTTTGCTCTTTCGATTTTTTCTAAAGGTTTTCGCATAGTATAGGTTTATCAGAGCAGACAGAGACGAAAACGTCGGAAATATCTGTGCCTTTGAATGAGATATCAATTCAAGCAACGGTTCCGGTGAATAGTTGAATATCTTACAACAGAATTCCAGGTTTCATTTCTCCATTACCGCGTAGTCCGGTATAGAGACTCGGGTTTAGAGTTTAGCGGTTTTACAATATAGGGACTCATCAACAGATCCAGAACTGAATTTTTGGCTGAATGCAAGCTTGATCTATCCGTGTTTTCATATGAGATATCAATTACAGCAGCGGTTCCGGTGAATGTCTTACAACAGAATTCCCTCATTTTCCGGTTTCGTTTCTCCATTAACAAGTATTCGAATATAGCGATTCGGGTTTAGAGTTTAGAGGGTTTCATCAACTGGGCAAGAACCTGATCTGTGTTGGCTGACTGCAAATCTCGATCTATCGAAATTGTGATGACTAATCTTATCTTCTAATCCTGCAGAAATCATTTAGTTACTTTTTCCTGTTTTTATCCGTTCGGATTTTATCGGTTCCTAACGCAGCATGCGAGCTTGGGCCTCTCGGTAGAAGGCAGAGTTGTCACATCTTTTTCCAGAAAGTGCAGCATTTGCTCCTCTCCTTATAACCGACGAGTAATTGTTTCATTCTCATAGTCTTCTTTCTTTACACTGTAAAGTAATCTGTGCTTTCAGAATGCAAAGTGAAGGAACTTGACGAGAAGCTGTCTTTAATGAACATATATCCGTGATCAGATCGACACGAATTTCACGGTCTGGATCCTGCCATCGAGCAGGGAGAGCCGAGCTTCTCAACTTCCGGAAATCGGTGGCGATGATCCTTCGGTGAGCAGCCTTGAAACCTAGCTCTCGGTTTCGGTTTTATCTTTAAAAACGTTTACTTCCCAATGAAATTTTCGGTTTTAGAAGAATCATATCCATCGGGTTTTTTATATCTGTTTCGGTCTGTGTAACCGAACCAGAATGCCCAACCGTGGGCTTCTTCCAAAGACAAAACAACACTGATGAACTGACATTGGGTTAAAACGCTTTTGCAGGTCATATACGTGAGGCCAGGCTATGAAGCTAACCTTGATTCCCTTATACAGGACACTATCCGCCTTACGACTTATGCCAATGTACGAATCCCTAAAACCCATCTCTTGTGTTATATGACCCACATATTAATATCGCGTAAGAGCTAGCTTGGGGAGAAGACTCTCCTCTTATCTTTCTCAATCGGATTCAAATTTTGTAAATAACTCACAAAAGATGAAGGTGGGCACCGGAGGTGTCCCGAATTTCGAGTGATCATCCGATTCGTGAGTTGAGTATTTGAAATTTCGGGTAATCGTCCACCGACGGGACCAACATGAGTCCGTTTGACGGTGAGAACCCGACCTTCGAGTTCAGGTTCGAGTTCGGGTTTTGGTGGACGAGTACCTATATTCGTGGGTACTCTAAACCCAGGGGGAAAGGGCGAGACGAAGCTGCGAGGGGACGCAGGGCTGGAGATGGTGGGCGGTTCAAAGAGAGAGGAGGAGGCGGCTAGAAGGCGATGACCTTGCCGCTCGGGTTTAATCGTTTCAAATTAGGGATTCTTGAATCAGGATTTCGTGTCTTAAAGGGGAAAAACAGAGTTTTCACATCCTCGGCCCCGTCCTCGCCGGTCGTTGCTTGCGGTCCGCGTTTTCGGGTACCTCTCTCTTCTCCCTCGTCTATGTCCTCGTGGCTTCGCCTTTTTCCCAGCGACTTTGCCTCCTCGGTATCCTCCGGATACCAAAACCTTCGCGAGAATCCGAAACACAGATACCCAACCGATAGTACCCGAGAAAAACAAGGCCGATGTCTGGTATAGCAAAAGCCTCGGGTACCCGATGACCCCTAATATCTAGAAACCTCAAATATGGGTAATAAGGGGTAGGATTATGTAATGAACTTGTGCGAATCTAATGGGTGGGAATGATGAATAACTACAGGATGCGTGCTCGGATGCATGCGAACAATCAGAACCGACAATGCAGTGTAAGAGTCTTGTTCATACTTTCTGGTGTTTGGTTCTTTCTTTCTTGTTGATGTCTGATTTTGTTTTGCAGACATTGGAGAGACAAATACAGCTTCTGTTGATAAAAGATGGTCCAGACTTCTCGAGCTTAAGAAGAAGAACCCTTTGCATCTTTAACACCCAATGAACACAATTATCACATGTATAAAATCATATTTTATGTGCGTGTGTATATATATATATAGAAAATATTCATGGTGATGTAAAAAACAGTGTCTGAAAATTTTCAAGTCTGAAGCATTACAACAGCCGCAACAGCAAGAACCACCAAAATAGTTTTGTCTTCAAAGCTAAAAACCACAAGAAGCAAGAACCTGAAGGAAATCAATCCACAAGAAGAAACTGGTAAACTCATCCACCAAACCAAATCCAGATCCGAAAAAACCCTAATCAGCCTCGGCATAGGCGGTCTCAAGACAAGCTTGCTCGGCTTCTCGGACCTCCTTCTCGGTCTTTTTGCCCTTCTTGCACTTGTAATAAATACTCATGAACGTCCCGACGGCTCTATATTTCTTCCGACAATGCCCGTATAGTTCACCGTCAAACATTTTCCAGAAGCTCTTCTCGTCGAGTTCAGTCACTGCATATTGGGTCTCGTACCCATGGTTCTCGATCAGCCATTGCTCCATCTTTCTCACGGCTTCTGCTCCGTCGAAAACTTCGCCTCTCAGGACGGGTCCCGGGGAATAGTACACTCCGACATCAGTGTACATCTGCGCATCTTCAGTGTCTCCCTGTCTGTTTTCGTACTCGAAGCCTGGCTCCGGGTAAATCATCGGTTTGATTGGGTACTTGTAGAGCTTGTGAGGGCAAAGCCAGATCGGATATACCTAAAACATTAACAAGATCATCTTTTCGTATAAAATGATTACGGATTTTGGTCCGTTCACATACTCTACAACACTAAAATGGACTCTAACGATTAAATCAAATTATAATAGTGTCCTAAGATGGATGAAAGAACAGTTTAATGAACAGAACATGTCATGAATAAGCATGAAAGAACAGAAGTATGAAACCATAGATGCACGGGAAGTAGGGCAGACATTTCGGTTTTCGCTTTGGGTTCGATTTGATAACATTCATGTTCAGTGTTTTCGGTTTACAAAACCTATACCTATTCGGTTTTTATATTAAATTCAATTTAGTTCGGTTCCGATATTCGGTGGTAAAATTACTCATTTTTCAAAGAAAATTTTCATTTCTTTCTTTTCGGTAAAATCAGCAAAAAAACATGTGGTGAATAAGAATAAATACCTCCATCTCACGGTGAACCCATTCAAGAGCATCAGCGACCTTGTGGAGAGGAATGAGCATGTCCTGTATGACATGCATCTCATGGTAGTAGCTCCTAATGGCTTCACCTTGAGTGGCCTTGAGAAGGGAAACCTTAGGAGGCATCAGCCAACCGAACAGGAACCGAAACCAGAACTGGTCACCGAACGGAAGTATAAGCTTCCCTTCCCAGTACAAACACCTCGTATGCCTGTGGTAATATTCTCTTGTCGGAATATACTCTACGAACTCTCCCTTCTTCAATGCGGTCTGAGCGTGTTGGTAGAACCACGGTTTGAACCACCACCCGATTTCGTTGATTTTGTTTCCTCTCTTCTTAGCTTCTTCTTTCGAAGCGTATTTTCCCGTCATCATCACGCCTTCGTTTGCGGTGAAAATCATCCCTTCGACGAAGTCTGGGATTTTCTTGGGATTCCTGTCTTTAGGTGCGAAAGAATCCGTATACGCCCGAGCTAGGGTTTTAAGATCACCCCTTACCGGTGTGTATGTAACTTTCATGTATTCTTTGATATGAATAAGCTTGATCTCGGCAGAAACAATAAGTCCAAGCGTTCCTTGTGACCACGGAATGGCGTAGAAAAGATCGGAGTACTCGTTGTCCCTCGTGGCCCTGACAAGTGACCCATCTGCTAGAACGATTTCGTACGCCTCGACAGTGTCGCTGAACAAGCCATAGAGATGAGAACTTCCTTCAATGCCATAACCATTGATGACTCCACCAATAGTAAGATCATCAAGCTCAGAAACAACAGCAAGGGAGAGGTTCATTGGGACAGTGGCACGAGTGATCTGTCCCATGTTAACGAGAGGCTCAACCCTAGCAATCATTCTTTCTTTGTTGATCTCTAAGATATTTCGGAATTCAGACAAGTCAACCTCGAAATGGCGAGCTCTCTTGTAATCCACGTTCCTCATTCCAACAACAGCCCATGGCTTACGTGCAGTGCAGACAAGACCGTCCTTTGACGGGTTTCTCTTCTTGAGTCTTTTGATGACTTTCAGAACGTTTTCGTCGTGTTCCTTCTGGCGTTTCTTGTAGGATTTCATCTCGGATTTCATGTCCCCGAGATATGTGAGGAAGTATAAGGTGGCTGAAATAGGAAGGACGACGAAAATGACGATAATCCATCTGAACTGAACAAAGTAATCAACCCATATCCTCTTTCTCTTCGGTCGTACTAATGGTGCTCTGAGATCCGACATTTTGGGAAGAATGTCGATATCACTGCATCAAAGAATAGATGACTTATAATGTAAGTCAACAAAAAACTACTTGCATTTCAAACTAAGAAGTTAAGATCATACAAAAATGATGAAAATATATCCATGTCCTCTAATTCAACTTTGAATTTATGTGTGTTCGGTGTGATTAAAGAAAACAATGATATGTTAGGCGTGATTGATTGAAGATATCGTGAAAATAAAAGTAGTAGCTTTGGAGTTTTAATATTATATGAAGTTTTTCATATCAAACACTTCTAATCATTTCTTTCTAATCACATTTTTCACTTTTCAAACTGATATTTCTTTACAAATTCTACATATACGTCCCACAAATCTTCGTTATTTCTCTTTTTTATTTCTTTATACTATGGACTAAAGAAGAGAAAATAAAAGACTTGTAAATGTTTATATAATACAAGTTTCTAACATGATATCAGAGCTGATAATGGTTCACGGGATGGCACTAAAACTAAGCACACGGAAGAGTACAATATAGAAGCACAAGAAACACGACAGTAGAAATTTATGTATATTATCATATTTTAAGAATTTTCAAACTTTATATGTGTCTTAGTATCAAAATTTGGTTTAATTTTAAACTGATAAATGTTGTACATACGGATACAGATACTCGCGGATACCCGTCTTTTAGTCACGGATATCCATCTAATGGGTACCCGAATGTTGTAAGACAAAGATAATGATAATATTTCTATAAAACCCATGAAGACGAAAATAAAAATGGGGTATCTCAAAAAACGCAGGTATCCGACCTGTATCCACTCCAATCCAATTGTATAAATCAATATTTTCTAACATCACATGATTTTGAGAATTATCGTAACGAGCATCAGATTTCTCATCAGTTCACTATGCCTTAAACATCACAATAGAACGAAATTTCAAAGAGAAAAACAGGATTATACCGAATATGGTGCATCATATGCTTAATAAAAGAAAGGTTCCAAAGGAATTCTGAAGAGATGTAATATGTGTTAGAATTTTTGTTGAACAAATTTCCATTCAAGAAAATCAAAGATATGATGTTGGAAGAAGCTTGGAGCTTACAAAAACCAAATGTTGATCATCTGAGAATCTTCGGTTGTGTTGCTATGCAAGGGTGCAGGAGGAGAAATGAACAAAATTAGAGGATAAGAATCATAAATGCATCTTCTTGAGCTATGATGAAAATTGTAGGGATACAAATTGTATAATCTCGAAACTCGCAAAATCATAATGTCCCAATATGTTGAGTTTGCAGAGTTGAGATTGAAATTGTAGTAATCAATCGCAAAAGATCATTCTTAAAGAAATTGAGGCAAACTCACCCCTACGAATTATTCAGAACTGTGATGATAATAACTCGTCCGTGATAAAAATGAAGAGCATTTAGGAGATTAATTTATGACAAAACTAAATCGATAGAATCCGGGTTGGATGATGAGTTTACTAATTTTTCTCTATTTGGTTGATTTAGTCATGTGGTATATGAAGAAGTTATTAGTAAGAAGAAGTGGATAAAGGTCAAAGATACATTTTATCCATTTCGAAAGTAGCTGGGAATCATCAGAATTCGAGGAGGAACACGTTTAAGGGGGCCGATGGTGGAACATAAACTTGTGTTGGAAAAAGTTTAAGAAAGAATAAGTTTAAAGATGACTAATGTTGAAGCATAAATTGTTCTTAACATTTTGTATTTTAGATTTGTATTCAAGAAAATAATTATACTAAATAAGACCAAGATTAATCATGTGTCATTATATTGTTTTACTGTAATATTTCTAGGATTGCTATATATATATATATATATATATATATATATATTGAAGTTTGTAAAGAATAACAACAAAAACAAAAACATAAGCAATACAAATACAAAGAAGAAATATTCAAGAGTTTTCTTTTCTTTCTTCTACTTATAGAAAGAAAAAAGCCTAACGTGCTTACATCTGCATGCACTAGAAATCTATCCAGAAAATTAAAAAAAAAAAAGACGGAAGGAAAAGTGGCAAACCAAAACCGAAATACCATGAACGAAGAAAAGAAGTTGAGAGAGAGAGAGAGAGAGAGAGATTTTGAGAGAGAGAGAGAGAGAGA